TGATTAGATTACTCGACAAACGCGATAACTTTTAATTTGAACCTAACAATATATGCGCAGCATTTGAGACCTTTGGGAGATCGCACGAAATGAAAGCGCATTCCCTCCCAGCTGGATCACGTGATGTCGCGTTATCGATACTTTGGGTGGCGAATCAAAATCCCTTGTATGTTATGCTCACCACAAGTGACCAATAGTAGAGCAAGTTTCGTTTAAACGCATTCAAGTGACAGCAGCTAGTAATGACGTTAAATCATCCAGAAAATCTTACTGCCCTTTCTGACCGTTTTTCTAGTAGTCGGCTAATATAGGGAGTTACGACTTTGTACAAATTTAGATTGTAATGTTATAGGTTCGACCGGCTAATATTCGGTAATACACGGTGCTGTTTCGCTCTGATGACGCTAGGTGACTCAGTGCAGAAGAATTATGCCGAGTGTATAGGTTGGTGATGTCAAGGTCATGGTCGGGTGGATCCAGATTCCGATCGCTACCACTAAACTGACCACATCCTCTGAATCCCAGTTGGCAAAATAACTGGAACTTCAGGTCACCGAAAACGACCGTAAGACATATGGACAAGCGTTGTGACGAAATTCTACCTAATACCATTCAACTCCCCCTACTACTCTTCTGTAATCAGTACACAGAACAAACTGCTTATAATGCCATAAGATAATTGGCGGCTTAAGTTTGTTAAGCTCGTCGCTTGGTGAGGGGGCTACCCTGTCCTCTGCACGGCAGTAAAGTGTAAGTCAGTGGATAGTGAGCGGCGCTATATCACATCTAGTAACTTATTCACGATGGTCGTTGCCGTCCCCCGTAGCTCAGTGGTCTCAACCACGGACTGGCAACAGTCGAGATGCGGTTTCGAGCCCTACCAAGGGTCCGATGGAATGCGCACTGATGATGATTCCCGAAATGATGAAACGCGCGTACAGTGCTTTTCCGGACTTGTGGCGGCTGTCTGAGTGAGCCTAGATGTGACGAAATTCTACCTATACCATTCAACTCCCCCTACTACTCTTCTGTAACGAGAATAGATATTCATTGATCCCCGAACTAGATGTTGTAGTAACAAACATCCAAAAAACGAGGTTTTGTGTTTTAGTATGATGTTAAATTATTCCGATAAAGCACAGATTCTTAGCGGCGCAGACATGTCTATTGACTGAATTCCTTTCTATTAGGCAAATCTTGGAATGTATGATCAGGAGATCCATGGAATCGTAACTTGATGCAGCCAACAACTCAATATTACCAGGAAAGTAAATAATTTAGATGCTGTCTGCATACTTTAAGCCACACGTGAATACTCCTTAGGAGTTCATAAACGCAATGGCTTGTTACTGGGACGGAGCAGGTCAGATCATAGGCGGTGAAGAATGACAACCAGCTTTCAGGGATGAGGTTTGACATAAAAATTGAAAGTCAAAGACAGTTGTTTTTTGTTACTGTGTGCATAAAAGTTATGCAACACAGGACAGAGCAGGGAAAAAGGTTGTCACAGTAGGGTTGGTGGACGTAACACTCAACTGCCCACTTCGAAGTGTAGCTTTCTTCTGGGGTGCCAAAGTTTAACCTGTGAATGTGTTTTCACCCACAAATTAACTGCGTAAGCAGATGTCTGTTTGGGAACCTCACTCTGAGATATAGCACAATAATTAGACACGCAATGTGGATGGTGAATGTGACTACCGACTCTGGAGAGGGTCTGTCTAGCGCTGAGCACTTGCATTTCTAGTAAAGCTAGCGCAGCGGTGTCCAATGTTTTGTAAGCAGGGTAGTATTTGGTGAGGTAAACATACGCCGGACCATATTCCAGCGGACATTAAGATAATAACAAAGTTACACATGTAGAAAAAATCTTTGCCCGAAGTTATTATTTCATAATAAGGCCCCGCGTCATTTCAACTTTTAAAGCGGGCCGCATTTGGTCCGCGGGCCGGACTTTGGATACCCCAGTGCTAGTGGAGGTAATATAGGTAGTTTGCCGCCACCACGACCACAAACTGTTACATTAAAAACTGATTGGTACTCCTCATGTGCCCTGTCTTTCGTTAACTTGAGCAATCCACTATTTAGCTATTTATTTATGTATGTGCTTAGTAGTGTACACTCTGTTGAGCATGGATGCCTGATCCGACTCAGCTGGTAGCAAGCCACTAACTGTGTTTTCACACTGACAGAAAAATTCACAGTGTTCTTGCTGTCTGACAGCTGAATAGCGCCTACTTTTGTAATATGTTGTCTATCGTGGCTCAGTAAGGATAGAAGTTCACTAGCCAATCGACAAGCATTAATCAGTAGAAGTGTAGAACTATTGCATAGCTTCTAATCATTTTCCTATCTATTATACATCATTGTAAAGGTAACTGGAATGCGTTGCGTAGCGCAACCCATTGGAATATGGAGGCCAGTGAACCACAGTGCAACCTCAGTTTCCGGTCTCACCACGTGGGATTACCTTCGCGGAAACCATGCACGGGGCATAGCAACTATAGATGGCTTAATGTAATGTGGTCATGTGTGGTCAAGCAGATAGGGGACGGTAGACAGCATGGTGTCAAGCAGGAGCTACTAATTTCCAATCAGCTTCCGTGAAAATGCGTTAAGCTGCGTTTGTAGGTGAGAGATATAACTATATTAGTTAGCACAAGGTGGGCAACTGTTGTGAACCAAGATTATCAACCTTCCATAACCGCTGCGGTGAAATTCAGTCCCTTTTAATTTCATAGCGCAGGTGTTAATGGGCTAGGGTGAACCATGCGAACTACAGAACATAGCTATTTAACGGTCTGTGAGGATTTCCGGCAACCTGACCAAAATGATTGTTTCTAGTATATTGAATTGTGTAATAATGCGTCAGCAGTACGCCGATACACAATACTGACGATTCGCTACCAAACAAACATCACTAGTCGCAACTGGGCTAAGGGTACTGCGTTGGTCACCCGATCGCATACACGGGCTCCAACCCGCGATCACCGAATTACAAGGCAGGCCTGTGCTGTGATAACTAGAAGAACGATTCAATGCAGAATAAATAAGAAGACGAACGATCATGAATTATCAATATACCGGTCCGAAAACCGATTAGTTTACCACAAACGCGGGGACTGGAATACTGGCCAAAGGCAGTGCTAACCTATACCACGTTAACGGAACGAGAACACGAAGCATACACCGGAATCGGGTTTACGGCAGCAGGCTTAGGAGAAGTGGGATAGGTGGTTTCACAAACTGAGGTCTATTCGTTGCTCTTAGTGCGTTCTGAAGGCAACACTTGGTTTAGTTGGAGTTGGAAGTGTCCCACAATAGGAATTTATCCTACAGAAGTGTGGGACATGTTGCATCTGTTCTGTGACTGCCTTCACCCACTAAACGATGTGAGAACACGAACGAGCAAGAATAGGATACAGATCTCGATATTTTGGAATTCATTTGGAACTGATCGGGTGGTTGACGTCTTAGAAGAATCTGTGAAGGTCCGGTTAACATGTTTGTTGAGCAGTTTCGCTTCTGATAGAAAAGTCTGAGGAAGCCTTTGTATCGAAAGCGAAATGTTGGCTAACAAATGCACTAACCGGTCATTCACGAAGCCTTCTGAACGGATGCACGGTACTTGTCATAGAAAACGGTCTGTCAAAGTGGCATGACGCGTAACTGGAAAAGCAGCCAAGTCACTGAAAGCATGCGACCAGACAAATCCAATAAGCACCAAACAAGTGAAGAACCAATCAGATGTGGCGAAGGAGAGGATAAAGATAACGTTGCCGTCAGATTTGAATTGTGATCCGCGCCCAGAATTAGACCGTGAAACGCTAATGGGACTAACGAAATGACATGTCAGAACAACCGTTAGCGAATGGGCGCAACGAAAAAAGATCCTGCAATTATGAACGTTTACACAAGTACACCTGCGGATATGGCACTTATCTTACAAGGCGAAAATTTGTTATAGGTCCCCACTTAAATAACCAGCTTAATATGGGTAATTTATGCGTGAACACAAAGCTAGGATCAAATATGACTATTGTATTCTTTCGCTAATTTCGGAGAGAGGATAAATGGCGGTGGCAAGTAGCTGCGCGGTCTAAAGAATTAAGCGCTTTACTTCGGTAGTCTGGTCACCGAAATCCCAACGAGGAGTGCTAGAGATGTGGGTTAATAACCACGAGAGATAACTCACATACAGCTTCAAAGTAGCAGCAGCTTAGCAGAGAACAAGGCAAAGGATGAAGCAACTTTTGCTTCAAGATAATCAATATTTCGATGGAACTGTAGGATTGGCAAGACTACCGGAAAGACACACATGACTCTAGATGCTCTGCGACCTTATCAATTCCCGAGGTTGGCTACTTACCCGTCGCACAGCATGATGCCGCTTGTGTTTGGCTGCGTGTGAGATGTGATCAGCTAATGGGAGGATTCAGAGCAGATGGTGAAAACCCAGCTACTGAAAGGCCACTTGGTTCACTCAAGTAGTTCATCCGAATGGGTTTGATGGATAAACGTGAGCGTGGGGACTGTGTATCTAATACGAGTATCGCCCTCAGCTGTCTGATCACTAGGTCCCCCTGCTTTCTTGCTACGTTTGCAAACACTAAGTGTGTAAATGACCGATAGTGCATGTGAGTAAACTGGAGAGATTCGTATAAGGATGCTGGTGCATTTTCTTGTACTGTGACTGTGGAAATAGAGTACAGCTTTGGAGTTTGTCGTCGAACGCATTACTAGACACTTTTGATTTGTGAAAGTGGTTGGAAAATTGATTGACTGAGTTCAGTGGAAGTCATCAAAACTAACGACCATCACTTAAGACAAATGGATTCCGAGACTCGGAATTCCCAATGCACCTTACGGAAGCACAAGTCGACTAATTGTCAAATTGAAGTCCATCATTGCCGTCTAAACGGAACTGCTCACAACTGGGAAACTATCATACGTGAAAGAGTCCCTGTGTGGATTACACGCGAGCGCAGGGAATGGCAATGTACCTTAAAGTTCTGTTGTTTTCTTCTGGAAATGGCATCTGGATCAGATTGACACCATCCATGATTGCCTGTATGCAACATTTCGTAGATTTGCCAGCAACCAGATAGGCTTGGTAAAGTGGATGTGGCCTTGGACGTCCGCTCTCGGTGGCTACGAACACTTGCAGGGAGGCCTGGCCAGTCCAACCAGTGAGCTGAAACATAAACAAGTATGGGGATACGTTAGATTCCCAGAATGGAAAAGAGGTGTTGCTGCAAATGCAAGTGTAGAAGAGCAGCATTACAAGACAAATAGGATAGCCAACTTAACGTTTGTGTCTGGTTGGTAGCACCCGCGGTGTGAACGAAATGCGGGTTTCAACCTCAATCTGAGACTCGTTTTGTTTTGGAAAATCTCACGACCGGTTCAGAGTAGCAAAAGTCTATGTACTGCTCCACCCCATTACGGCCGCCTACAATCGATTTCTTTCGTTTGGAAGTTCCAGGTAAAATGTAGCAAGGTTCCCGACTGAGGACGTTGCAAATGCAACGAAAAACTCCTCGAAAACAATAGTGGAAGAATTTAACGACTCGTTATCATTGTTGCAGTTGGTACCATCATTGTTGTCAGACGCCTCCAAAGTCAAAAATCGGTAAAAAAAACTCATGGGAATAGCACAATTGAAGTTTGCGTCAAATGCGAAGATTTGTCCAAGCTAACCATATTCCGCAAGGAATCGGGTGTGCCGAATGGGAGCTGGGCTCAGCGCATTACGTTTACACTCTAAGTTGCAAGATCGAGGGAAAGGCAGCAGCTGGATGTTAAACGTGAAAATTTTGACCTCGAGGCCAACTCTTTGTAGAATGAGAATTGTCAGTTTGAGGCGTATAATCAATGAAAATGTTCGGTAGCAAAGTCCTTGCAATAGCTATTCTAAATCGGATATTTAACGTGCCAGTCTCGTAAAAATACGAGTGGTAAAACGGATCAGCATAAATGTTAAGAAACAATGCCGCACAATTTTAAATACACACAACTACACACACAGTCACAGAGCTATCGTTGCCTCATTGTAACCCACGGTACAAGTTACGTGTTGTTGATTCCTCGTTGGACAGAAACAAAGACTACCTATCGAATAGCTTCCTAGGAAAAATCAAATTGTCTGGTGCTTTCCAGAACCGTGTTAACCATTCAGTCGACGATGTGTTCAAAAGCGTCTACTCAAAGACACCAGGGGCTTGAGTGACACTTGTGGATGTTATGAGAAATGCAGTTAAATGCGCTACCGAACTTCAGCGCAATATATTACACGTCGTAGGTGATAAAGGCAAGGAAAAGCATAAAGTTGGTACCATATGAATCAACACAAGTCAAGTGGAGCGAAGTATATAAACAATAAACTTAGTAGGTAACTTGTTATATGTTTTGAGAAGCCCGTGAAAAACCGTAGTCATTTACCGTGCCATATCCTATCGGATTCGGAATGTGACATTTGAAAAGGCTGTCTCCGTGCCATCCGATCCAGGAACATGGAAAGTGTGATGTAGATAACTCTTCGGTCAGGTCCACCAGGCCATTAAGTACCTGTATGGCGCAATTTCGGTTACGTGCACATGTGCGGATGTTCATATGGCATGCGAGGGAACCCACAGTTAGCAAGTGTAGCTTGTGAAGCCATAGCAAATATCCATCCGTGAAAGTAGAAGCTCTGCCGTCAAGTATTAGTTGGTAGAAGCCCAAACTGATCAAAGAAGCAGAACCAGATCTGATTTACGTTTTCTTTGCAAGCTCGAGCAAATGCTATCGTTAGGCTAATATCTTCAGTGGACCTTTGCTGCAGCGCTAAAACTATGGCGATTATTGAGCCGCTGAAGCCCTTGAGTGACAGACTTACAGCTCACTGCACCGGTCAGCGCGTAAACTTTCTAAAGCGATACTACAGCTGTTGAGAAGTAAAGCAACATCGAATACTATAAGCGGCTGCAAGGGATAAAACTATCCAACCGCGTGATCCAGCATTGTTATATTACTTGCTATTCGTTATTTGTAATAACTGATCAATTACCCTCAATTCCTGCGACGGCGTTTTGCACCTTGAAAGTAATGAGTATGTGCTATCATGCACGGTGCTCCGTACTGGTATAGAATACGAAATTTTCGTTAACTCCGGATCCCACTTCAGAGTAATTGGACCAGCCGGCACTCTGGGTTGGTTAATCCAGCTACTGAAACAGCTTCAACTGCAGATGATGCAGTCGAACTCAACTAGTTAATAACCACCTCTGCCACAAATCTGGGGAATCAAACACCAATTTCGCAGTCTTCTTTATTTTGGGGAAACCACTGACTTATTTTCATGGAATTTTACAATACGCTGCAATGAAAGAAAAGCAATTTCCAAATGCAAATGGTTTTCTGAAGTACAACTATTATTAGTGCAATAAACGTGTGTTAACTAGAACAAAGCCAAAGATCAGCCAGCAAATCTGACAATGCCGGTTATCCTGTAGGTGTGAGAAAATTCAATACAGCTGTCGAGGCATGACCCTATGATTGGTGGGCACCAAAGCAGAAAGTGCAGACAAAGGGTTTTACAGATGTTACTGAATGAAGTGCAGTCGAGTTGATAAGAAAAGAAGCTTGTGGTGGTTTGAGGGCAGCAACATAAATCAGCCCTGGAACACCACCACTTCCAAGATGTCAGAGAATCAAAATGGATGAAACGGTGGTTCGCCGATAGCCAGAAGAAGTGATCACATCATCATAGTAGGTCACAGTACATCGCGACATCAGTTGTTCATGATGTATTGCATCGCTGATGAATCCATCTTTGCCAGGTTAATAGGAACCAGCGAGCAATAATTGCACATTACATTGGCGGAGGCTGCTCCTTAAATTATCTAGTTTTTCTTTCAGGTATATTGGTATGAGAGTGCAGTAGGTGTCCAGCATTATCAGTGATGTGTTTACTTGTTTACCTACTTTTAAGATAAACCGGTTGGATGAAGAACGGTCAGCAATAACTGTAACATTTTTGCTGCCTTTGGGCCATCTTCCTTCACGAAAGTTTGTTCGTCCTACTTCCGGATAAATAATCTCCGTGGATTCAGTAAAACAGGCTGTCAAACTAAAACTAAATGCACCTTTCACTCAGAAAATTAACACCACAGCATTTCATCCATTATTATGAAAAATTATGCCTAGTAGATGGATTACTGTCCCTTAAGCCAACGGCAAATGCGATGCCAGTCGATCGGCTCTGTTCGATTACATCGAGCAATAAATGTTGTACTGAAACCAATGCCCCTGATAGGGATAAAACTCAGAGCCTAACAACTCCGCTTGGAATATCTGAGATGAAATCGCGAATTTTTATTAAACATTGTCAACAAAATGAACTGAATATTTGTGTGTTAACCATAGAAAGTAATGCGAATGCAACTACGTCTGCCACAATTTCATGGTTATCCTGGGGAACAGTATTGGTCTACCTTAGGCCATCGGCTAATGGACACGAGAAATATCTCGTAATGCACATGGCAGAATACGCCATTGAGTCGATTTTTGGAAAAGGGATGATGTGAACGCAATGACATGGGAAATCCTTCCACGACCGGTGTATTCGGAGGAAAATAAACTGCGACGACATTTCAACTAGCTATACTTCGCAGCCAGACTCATCCGCAGGCCACTCAAGTTCATATGGGAAACCAACGGCAACCCAAGACACTGTCAACATTGTCCGTTAGGTTGAGGACATCGAGCAGCAGTTTAACCGGTCTGCAGCACCAATGATTTCTCATTCGTGAATTCGCATTACTACCTGGAGTTTATGCTCTTTACCACTCTCTGCCGCTGCGGTTGTTTATTAATTGTGCATCATGTAGCTTTACAAAGCCCCTGCCCCAAAACGAACACCCACGAGCTTTTATCAAAGATGGAGGCCCATATCTTGTGCAAGAATTAATTGCCTGCCTTCATAAGACTTGGGTAAAAGAAACGGTGCCCTCTGAATAAGGCCTAGAGAATCTTGTGCCCGCCTTCAGAAAAAGATGGCCGGACAGACTACGACAAGTAAGGATGGAATAGTCTAATTTGTATGGTGCTCCAAGTGCTCACTTGCTTACTTATAAGGAGACTCGGGTTGTTTAGTGTTGTGTCCTCAGGGGTTCGACTTAGCAGCCTCTTAGATTGCGCCACGCGAGTCAAAAGGCAACGCACCGGACGAGAAGTATATTTGCGAGACACAGAACGGGCCGACGTAGACAAAACTCGCAAAACAACGGGGAGCGATGGAGTATTCTTACCTCCACTATAACAGTTTGCAAACAGAACGTGCGCGAACAGCAAGCTGTGATATCATCTAGCCGGAGCTGTTTCCATCACAACTTATTGATCCGCCAGATACTCGAACATCGTTCTAGTTCGGCCGGCCAACAATTGTTGTATTCTTATGCATACGAGCCGCATTTGACACAGGTGACCAAGCTGCACTTTGGAATTATCTCTTGTGAAAGTGAGTGCACGAGATTATGTTAGCAAACTTCAAGCGGTTGATAGAGTGTGTGAGCAAAGTTTCGCTTTTGACACAAAAGCCTCCTCAGACCAAGTGAACCAGTCGAAAATCGCGACGAATGGGGTGTAAGCAGAAGATCAATCGTGTTATAGGTCAACGCATCACACCAAATAGTGTATGGAACGGTCAAAAGTGGTCCGTGTTACAAGGTCAAACACGTAAACCCTGTTAATGATGGGTGAGGGGAAGATGTGACGCTCATTCTCTGCTCTGGATCCCGCCGCCGGCGCTCCTCAGACTTGTCGGGTTAACACAGCTCGCTACACGCTTGGAAGCTCTGCCGCGTCCATTCTGTTCACGCATCTGTTCACTTTGCTGATTTCAACTGCCTCAGCAATCATCTTCTGAGGAGCATATCGTAACTCCTGTCTAGCGATTTTAACGTTATCCAAGTCGATCTCATGCTCTGTATCCATCGTGTCCATCGCTACTGCCGAACTCCTTAGTAGAGCCATATATTCAAGCTCGTTTCTCGGTGGCCGTGTTATGCGTCTCTTGTGTTCTGCTATCCTTGTGCGTAGCTCTCTCGCGGTTTGGCCGATGTACACGTGTGCGCAGTCTTTGCAACTAATTTTGTAGACGCAATTGGTTGTCCTATCTGCGGGAAGTGGGTCTTTCAAGTGCACTAGTGTAGA